ATGCAGGCAGGCAGGCAGATAGATAGATAGATAGATAGATAGATAGATAGATAGATAGATAGATACTTCATTTTTCCTTTATTATATTGTGGATAACACACCTTTAAACCTCTGAATACACCATAATGCATCAAAAGCTGCAGGTGAGTACTGATAAGACATGAGTCTGGTACAACAACCAAGAAATAACAACAGATGAGGGGCAGGTGACACTGACATAAATGCAGTGATCTGCACACAGTGACACATCTACCCATGTGCACACCCACCCACACACCTACACACACAAATACACAGTACCAGCATACACACACAAATAAACACATGGTGACACTGACCCCGTTGGCAGCTGCCATTTGCACAATGACATCAATAGCTGTTCTGTTGAAGAAGCGTCCATCTCCACCAACGACTACTGTTGAACCCTGGCGGTCACGTAGGTCAATAGAAGAGAAGATACTGTGGATGAAGTTGTGCAGATAGTGCCTCCTGGACTGGAATACAAAAACTTTTTTCCTCAGGCCACTGGTGCCGGGTCTCTGATCAGGGTAGGGGGCTGTAGGGACAGTCAATACCTGCAGAGGACTGTTGTCCATTGTTTCAAATAAGGATCCAACCTAATGCTGTGGTGAAAAGAGCCAGGGAACCTGTTGTTTAGAGGGAAATGGAATGGGAATGGGAGGGTAAAATCTTGACTCCTCCTATTATTTCACTGGAAGTGTGGGGTTACAGGGATACTTCTGCAGCCCAAAATAGCCTTTCAAACCAGTGTGTGTACAGAGGCAGGTGGAGTAACTGAAGACGCTTCTTCACATATGTGCAGGGAGATCACTGTCAAGGCTGTAGGCCCAGTCACAAAGATGCCTGTCTGTGTATGTTTGGGTGTGTATGTGTGGAAGTTACCGAAGTGTTATGGGAGGGTTGCAGCTGTGCTCAGAGCAATGATATGCAAAAAGAAAGATGCCATCTCTCATAGAGGATGAATTTAGCACTATTTTATGGGTGGATGCTTACCATTTCTTAAAGCTGAATGTGAAAACAGAGAGTGACTGGAGCAATTAGAAGGTAATTGGAAGCAAATACTGGTACAGATATGTGGTCTTAACAAAGTGTCTGTTTACAAAGCAAACATCATTTATGGGATCTAATTATACATGCAGCACAGTCAAATCAAAGTGGAAGGACTCTGTGTGAGCCAGAACAATGCTGCCCTCTAGAGTTTATGCCTCTTACAGCATAGTACAAAAGTTTTGTAGTAAAAGCAGGAACATCCACGAATCATTAATTTACTAGACTTTGGCATCAAAACAAATTTGGTGTTTATAATTCCAAGATGACATAACTTGGGGCCTAAATCGTTGATGACATAGAAAGTCCATCCTGTTCCTGAAAAGTGCCTGGACCACAAACAATCTACAGCCCATACAAACAAACAAGTCTCAGTCAGTGCCTATCTGATCGTCAAGAAACATTTCATTATATTTGTAGTCAGGAATATCTACACCCAAAGAAATATTATTTAGAAGTCATCATTATGCTTTTATTTAAGTTCAATAAAATATACAAAGTGTATAAAAAAACATATAATTATCTCTAGCAATAGTTCCCAATTTCTGTTTTGTTTAGTTGTTCCCACAGAATGACTCAGTGTCTCTTTGGGACCCCTTGTCACTCACTGCAGATGTCAAGTTGAAAGCAGTGCCACCAGTGACATTTCAGACTGATACATCTAAGTAATTCACAAAGAAACAATTATATTAAATTCAGTTTGTGGTCTTTCATATTGTTATTTCTCTTCTAACCGGCACAAATTAACCCCTGCTCATGAACCGTTCCATGTTTGGAAGAGCTGCTATATACTGAACTGAGAGCCAGTGTGACCCAGTATAAAACACTGCTGTCTCTTTTAATTAATTTTCTGAACTAGAGTCAGTGAAGACATATTTTGTGTCATGGTTTGAGGTTTCTAACAAAGAGCTGCCTGCATTTCAATGTATTTTACAGTTCACACTAGATTTTAAAGTTCTCCTATTTTAGAAACTACATGCACACTGTCCTGAGCAAACAAACATTCTTATGACTTGCTCTGTTTGGAACAGAACAGCACTCAGAATTGTAGACCTTTGTGCGTATCCTGGGTGACTGGGACTTGATAGCTGGAGGAGACATCTTCCTCTCTGCCTACTGCGCATCTCCTGAAACCATGGCTGCCCATGCGAAGCACTACCAAGGCTCTCCTGAAGAGGTCACTGTTTAATGCTGGTTTATTTTGAGCATTTTCATTGGGGAATGTTGGTACTGGATAAGAGAAAGTCTGTCTCAGAGGAAGCTGACGTAGAGGAGGTGGTGCTGAGAGCAGCCACAGGGTGGACAGAGATCTGGGTGAGTCTGAGGGAGTAGGACACCTTTCGGCTCAGCTTCCACCAAATCGCTCTTCTGCGCTCTGAGCGCCCCTTCCGTCTCATGTAGAAGTATCTCCCATTCAGGTTGATGTCTCCACAGGCATTGAACCACCATCCACCTGGAAGTAGGCAGAAATTACATGTTGTGCATCTGATACTGCATGTACTCATTAATCCCCATCTTTGCATCACATGGGGATAAAACATGTGCACCTCCTGTACCTCTGTAGTCGTGAGCACAGTTGGAATCCTGGAGGTTGTCGTTGTCCCTGTCTTTAGTGGAGAACTTCATGCCTGTGTGGTTGCTCATTGGGTCAGGCAGATTTCCAGACAGATGTGTGAGGTGAATGGTGTAGTTGCTCCCTGCACCATTAAGGTAAAATCTGTATTTAACGAAGCATCTGCCCTGTTTCCAAAATTCCAACTGAATGTGAAGGACAGAGTTGCCCTGAGTGGCTAGTGAGTAGATCTTCCTGAGACCCAGCCAATATTCTCCTGTGACAGTGACACCGCTGAGAGGTTAGGGCTGACATGATTGAACAAGCAACACAAGTACAAGTGATGCAGACAAATTTACAGTACATGCAGAGATGCAGTTATAAAAATAGCTAGATGGGTAATTGAATTTAAGTGTCTGGAGAAGGGGATATATTTCTCACCTTGAAAATCTCCAAACCCATTTTCATACTTCTCCCAGGTTTGATCAAAATTCACTGAGCCATCTCTCCTTCGCTGGATAACAGTTGCTCCATAGGCTAAATAGAAAAAATAGAAAAAGTGGCTGACTACATTTAAAGTTATAGTCACTGATATTTTCCTAAAATTGTTTTAGGTCATTCGTTATTTAGTAATAGCCCTTCAATGTATTTAACTTATGCTCTGTAATTACCTCTTTTTATATTACTTTTCAGTGTTCCTTCACATATGTGAGGGATTCACAATGTAATCTAGTGTTTTTAAGTGACAGTACTGCTAATGTAAACGAAAGATTTCCTACTGTTGCTGCTTTACATTAACAGTTACATTTTTAAGTAAAATAGTTGGACAAAAGAGGAAACATGGCCCTTAATAGAAAAAACTCTGTGGGCCTGTGCTGTGTAAAATCTAATTTTTGTGAAACTGGGAGTACTTGTGCTCATGTCACAAAAAGCCATGAAGGGCTCTGATCCATTGGGTCTTATGGTGTAGACACCACTGACTCGCTCCCCTCTGTTGAACAGCTCACTGCAGTCTGATGGCAGACCTGTTTAAAAAGACGACAAACACAATGTCAGACTAGAAGCTGTCCTGCAAAAAGTTTAGCTACACAGTTCATATAAAAACTACATTTATCACTTTGGGGTTGCACATCTCCGGCAACCAGCCAAATTGAAGGGAATTGGACAGATGTGAGGTCACTGACCTTGGCCTCTGACCACCAAAATCTGATCAGTTCATCTTTGAGTCCAGGTGAACACTTGTGCCAAATTTGAAGAAATTTCCCCAAAGGTACGGATATACAGAAAACCCCAAAACATAATGCCTCTGGCAGTCGCTATTACTGGCGTGGAGGCATAAACATGAACAGGAAATTCAGTGTAGGGCATCTGATTGCTCAGTAAGTACTGAGACTGTGGATGCACCAGACGGCTCCCTACTGTGACTGTACTGTGACTGAATGTGAGGCAGAAAAGTGCTAGAAATTGCCTGGACACATTCACACAGTAGGATTGACTACTTAACCTAAGTGCTTGCAGACTGCATCAAATAAATAAGAGTGTATTCAAACCAAATCACTGTCAACATTTCCTCATGTTTTGCTGTCCATCTTACTCATCATTGCAGCAGTGCTGGTAGAGCCTGAGGTCAGATAAGGGGTGAGTGTTGGTGCTTCAATGCTGGAGAATTCATGCATCCTGTCCATGGTCTCCTGGGCTAAAGCAGTGGCTTTAAGCTGGGGAGAATCATAACACTTGAGCTTGCAGACATAATCCTAGTATTAAACAGCAGTTTCACAAACAATATATTTAGAGTTTCTATTTGGCACATGTTGATTTTTTTCCCCAAGAATGTTGACATATTTTATTGTAATAATGTGATTTTTCAGTTCTTAAGACACAATTCAAATATATCCAGGCACTGGCTCAGATTATTAAAAATATGGACAGCTCCATCATGTCTGCACCTTCGAAAAATTTTAAGCCTACAAGACACAGTTCAACACTGTCATCCATTAAAGTTTCTTTCTACCAGCACAGTTGGGGTACGAATTTCTTGAAAAATGCATACGTCTGCACAACAACAAATAAAAACCCCTTTTGAGTTGAACTTCTCAGTCACTCTAACTGAAAAAGAAGCCATTTGAAAATGATTGGGGTGAGGAGAAAGGTTGAATGTTTTATACCATATTTTATAATAGATACTTTCTTTGGACCTACTCCTTGAGAAAATAAAAACACAAAACCCTCCTCCCATTTTATAAAGAAAGTATACTTTGGCAAACATAACTAAATGGTGGGAATTCCACAAAAAAGTCAATAAGTTACAGTAGATCCGATGATGTATAACATGATATGCATGAGAACAGATGTCTCTCGGTCAAGTCTACTACATTATTTCACGGTGGTATGGAATACTCTTTAGCATTTACCTTTTCTTCCAGAATTTTGATCTTGGTCCTCTGATGGTTGATCTGGTCGCTTTGCTCACTCACAGCCTTCAGCAGCTCTAGGATGCTCTGCTCTTGGCTGTTGATCACATCCTGGCAGGAAAAAAGTAGGAGTCAGAGGATCTGTTAAACTGTTGTGTTATTCAGTTGTTAATATTATACATAACACTTTGAGTTGATATTATAGTAGTCACATATCGGGAGAAAAACAAAAAAGCAAAGTTATGGACAACTATTCGGCTTACTTTCTAGTAAACAGAGGTATTAAATATTAAAAACCATCCTGGGACATTGTTTCCATTTTTTTAAATAAAGGACCATATGACATTTAGAAGATAAATATACAATAAGTAATGGAGATTTGTGTTTGCTAAAAAAAGTCAAGATTTTAGCGTTTATGGTTGTATGATCTAAGTGATCTTTTACGGGCATTTCCATCTCTGAAAAAATAAAAGCCAAGTAACATTACATAACCAACCCTAAGGCCGTCGATCTCTGCCACTTGTTCCTTTGTCATCAGACCCTGTGATAGACTGCTCATCTTCTTCTCCAGGCCCTCCACTTTGTTCTGCAGTCGACCCTTCTCCAGCACAATGCTGTCCACTTTAAAGCTGATCTCAACAGACAAGTTGTTGATCTCTTCACTGGTGATCTTCAGTGCCGTAGTGGTCTTTTTCAGCTCCTCCTCTTCCTGTTTAATTTCACTGTTGAGCACTGACAGCTGGTGATAAGTGTGGTTGAAGATGTTTAGCTTCTGGAGGATGTCATTTATCTGTGCCTTTGTCTTCTGCACAAACTCCCGCAGGCTCTGACCCAGCTGGAGCAGGCCATTCTCCAGGAGGTGCACATCTTCCAGAGTAGTGGAGTGGGACTGAGTTTCAGCTGGGGGCTCAAGCTGGGCAACAGGAGGCTCTTCTTTGCCACAGAGGGCAGGGGCACAGGCAGCAGACAGGACAAACAATAAGGGAATCGATGCTATTCTCATTCTGTTGTTGTGCTGCTTCACCAGCTGTGTGTCAGTGATGTCAAGGAAACAACTGGCAACTGTCTCCTTCACCACTGGATGAAGATCCTGGGTTTTATATGTACATTGTCTGGTATCAGATCAATGATTAACCTCATCTGATCAATATCTGGATGCAGGGTGTAGTTTCCTCATGCTGAGTGGGCAAGTATGATTTATTCTCATCTACATTCAAATTTAATTTGGACATTTTTACATAATAGGTGTAATGTGGACAATGGACCTTTTCTGCATTAAAAATGCTCAATCCAATTCTCAATGGATACAGCTTTGCTCCATCCAAACTGTTCCACCAACCAGACTACTTGCCTTTGCAGCGATATTAAGCCATGGTGAAAGGTGGGCATATTCACTTGCTCCGAGTCAGGTCGGCATGACACTGTTTTCTCGCCTGACCTGGGGTTACCTTCCTCGAGGCCACGGCTGGCGTCTGTTATGGTTGTGTAGCTGCTTTATATTTAAACAGGACGCTGGCTGAGTATATATGATCAGTTGAGGCAAGTGTGGATGCTACACAAATATAGATGGACAGAACGCTGCTGCTCAAAATGACATCAAACCATAGTGATTGTTAACACTGTGGATCTAAAGACAAAAATACAACCTGATTTATCATGTTGGATCTTATTGATAAGTGGATTCATTGGTTTACAGCCCTGTAGTCAAGCATTATTTTGATCAAAAGCATGCAAGAAACCTGATTTTTTTTATTACACTACTCCTTTAACTTAACACCTTGTGATCACACAATGCAAGAAAACAGAAGACTAATTTGTGGTGAGCACTCCCAGCAATTTCCACTGGGGATGTCAAGCTAGATATACAGTAACATACTATAGGTGATGACCCAGGTTCTCTTCTGTTAAATGTTAACTACCCCTGTGAGAGCACAGCTTCAAAAGCCCTACAGTGTGTAATCTGTAAACACAGCCCACAATCCTGACTTCTCTGAAAGGTAACATGTCAGCGTACACAATGGCCCACATTTGCAAAACCTTTAATGGGGCAGGAGCAGCTTTAAAGAGAAAGTGACATAGAGTAGTTGAGTAAGGGAGTGCTAGGGTGTGTGTGTGTGTGTGTGTGTGGCCTGGTACTACTTATGTTGTGGGCAGGGGCTGGAAAATTCTAAATAGGGTGGCCAGGCTTGGCCACAGACTCAGAGAGGGGTGGCACATTTGAAATAAATGTAAAAAGTAAATTAAATCCCCAGTTCTATGAAATAATAAACCATAAATTATTAAGAATCAAATTATTTATTTTGTGTAAGAGTGACACACACACACACACAGTGCTTTATTTAACTAACTCTGGCTGAGCTCTTTATTTACTCCCGGCCAGGGACATTGCCACTGCACAGTGGTTCCCCCCCAGTGAGATGAATCATGCCAAGTACCCCACAACAACACAATGATGATGCAAATATGCTGCATACATGTTATATAATAAAGCTTATTTGACTAATATCAATTAAAAAGTTATATTTAATTTGTCATTATTTTTTTTATTTGTTATTCATTAATACTGACAAGCATCACATTTTGACTCTGGCAGAGGTGGCCCATCAGATTCTGAGGGTGGCCAGTGCCACCCATGGCCACCCCCTGGCTCTGCCCAAGAATGTGGGGACATCAGTTTGTTTAGACAATCACACTGTGGTAACACGGCATCCCTATGGAGACAAAAAGTGAGTCTCAAACATTACATTTTTAGAGTGATGACTTGGTTTAATGTTAGTAGTGGTTATGGTTAAAGTTAGGTTAAGTCTCCAGGAAATTATTGTAAGTCGGTGGAATGTCCCTTGAAGTTATGGAGTGTGTGGGTGTGAGATAAATAATAAAGGGGGAGTGAGTGATCATTATACTCTTTGTGTATAAGGGTTGCAAACCAGAACCTTGACCTCATGATTATGTATTTACATCATTTATCACTGTACATTTTGTTTTCATTATAAATATTCCAGTCAGTAGACTGTAACATCTTATGATGAATCACTATGGTGGTCCCGCAACCTGTTACCAACACCTGCAAAACCAATTACATTTCAATTACAGTATTATTGATGTGTGTTTAGTGTTAATTGGTGTGAAGGTACTAAATGGAACGGCACCTGTGATGCCACATGCAGAAATCTGCCATGTGAAAGTATATGCCTAGCTCTATCACAGTGGTGTGATGTCACAGGGTGATTCTAGAGCTGAGGACGATACTGCTCCATCCTAAACAGCTCCTCCTCTATACTTTACATAAGATTTTCACAAATTATTATAAATATTAATAAATATTACTAAATTATTATTGCCTTTTAGGAATAATGGTACAAGTAGTAGCAGTAACATATTTACTACTACTGTACTATACCAATATATTACACATCACCATATTATATCACAGCAATGATAATTCTGTATTATAAATATGTTGCTGCAGTATTGTATGCTTTACATTATATACTATATTATGATATCCTATCTATTTTTATTAGTACTTAATTTTATTATTATTGTAGGTGTATATCATACATGTACATAGGAACACTACATTATACAGTACAGTATACTTCATACTATTATTGTGCACATTGTATTAATTATTCACATATATACCTGTTCACCTATACTGCTATATTTTACTAGCTATATTGCACTAGCCAATTTCTGAAATGTTCACAAATGACTAACTATATATATTGAAATTTATTTTGAATGTCATCTGGAACATAATGTTTATTTAATTTGATATATTTTCATTTTACTTCAAAACATCTTCTGCTATGTCTGCACTGTTCTGTGTATGTTGTACAATCTGGACTGATCTATTAACTGCACTCTGTTTAAGACATGGAAACATTTCACTAAAGATGACTTACTTTCTGTGTTCGATTTAGTTGTTTTATATATTCTACAAGTTTCACCTACAATTAGTGGAAATAGTCTGTGGGTAATTCTGTGTTTTTAAAAACTGATGGATGACAGAAAGCAACCAACTCTTAACTAGAACCATTCTTAAAAATGTCTTAGTTACTGTAGCCTCATCCTTAGCATAAACATCAGCAGTAATACTGAATGGCCTACACCCTACAACTGACATCTATAGATTCAGATGAATTCCAGCTGCTTTAAGCTGCTGCTTAAGACTTACTCATCTTTAATTTTAAATAACCTCAGTTGTGGAAGGTCTGTGGCCTTCTGATCAAAAAGATGGTCATGATTCATACTGTAGGTCTCTGTTACATGACTATTTATACTGTTTCAGATGGCCGACATGGCTACAGCTCAACCTGTAACTCCTATGACCACAAGCCACAGTTACATAACAGACATCAAAAGGGCAATGCCAGCTGTGACAGAGCCTTAGGTGAACTGAACTGCTTTCAACTTTCATTTTGTTTTTTACATTGATTTTTTAAAATACCCCCAAAAGGAATCATAAATTAGCATATGCATAATGACTCTGTAGTATTATTAGGACTGGATTAGAAAATGTTCAGAATACCTTCATCATCTTAAAATTTCAGCGAACACTTTGCAGCCTCCAAAAACAATACATGATTTTTGCTAAAAGGAGGACCTGTCTCTTGCATTTCCCCTCAAATATGATGCAACTCCAAATCTTTCTCTGAAACTGCCTTAGAGAACAGTTTTGCTTTTGGCCAAGTGGTCTGCAGTTTGTGGCCAGTCCGTCAGCAGCCATTTCTCTCTCTCTCTACCCCAAGTCAAACCACAATCCCTCTTGGAGTCAGTTGTCTGCTTGGGTAATGGAAAAGCAGCATTTCGTGCTAATTTTTGCTAATTTCTTTTCCATGCATGATGGGTCACAAGGCAGTGGTTGCCGCTCCTTGAGCAGCTCTACCACCTCATCCCATCTTTTCATAAACATTGCCCAGTTTAGTTTGCTTTCAAGTTAGCTGGATGCTGCCAGTTGGAGTCTAATCAACAATTTTCACTGGGCCATCCTGTGCAGGGGGAAAATATTTCTCCAAGCCTGAGCAGGAAAACTAAACCACTTGCTCCCCACAGTAAACATAGGCACAATAAAAAGAGGTGCTGTAAAAAATAGAGAGACAAAAGTAAGAAAGATGAATTGTGTGCATGAAATATAAAATAAAGAGAATGAGGACAGAGAAAGAAAGAGAATTATGGGAGAAGCAGACTAAGACTTTACAGCAGTGCTCTCAGTTCTGGGAGGCTGAGCTTGGGCACAGTGATGCTTGAGTGAAATGCTAATAACAGCATGCTAATATGCTCAGTGTTTAGCAGTTAATATTTACCTTATTCACCATCTCAGGTTAGCATGTTAGCATGCTAATATTCGATAATTAGTGCTAAATATAAAAGACAGGTAAAGCCGATAGTAAAGTCAATAGTTCTGCAGATACTTGGTCATAAACCAGAGTATTGGGCAAATATAAAACAAAAAATTACTGGTAATGGTGTACTGTAAGAGGACAAATTCAGGGATCGCCATTGTTCATACAATTCATCCTGAGGGCAACATGAACATCTAACTAAATTTGATGGCAAACTGTTTAATTTCTGCTGAGACATTTATTATAAAACCATAAATGTGAACCTGATGGTGGCAATAAATAATTCATTCATTCATTCATTCATTTTCTACCGTTTGTTCCCTGAGCGGGGTCACGGGGGGAGCCGGAGCCAATCCCGGCCGGCAATCGGGCGAAGGCGGGGTACACCCTGGACAGGTCGCCAATCCATCGCAGGGCTAACACATAGACGAACAACCACACACACACGCAATAAATAATAATAAAGTTAAGGGATAATCAAAGTTATAACATCTGTGACACGTTTTGTGCTAATAATCTATCAAGCAGATGTTGAGCAATTTCATTTGATATGTTCCAAGTTAGGATTTATCCTCTGAGCACCATGAATGTCAGTACCAAATTTGTTGCCAATGTATTTGGTAGCTGTCAAGACATTTTACTAAAAACCAAAAATATTAACCTCATAATAGCGCCAGAGAAAAGTCAGATCATTAAAGTTAGTAGGATTTGTTGTCAAGGGAACCATGAATATATTTACAAATGTATGTGTCATTTTATCTATTACATATTGGAATATTTTACTAGATAAATAAAAACTTTTAACTGCTGGTGGTGATAGACAAATACCTGGGACTAGTGTTTGGAAGATGCTGGTAAAAGCTTGAAAGATGATCCATGAAGAATGTCCTCTGAGAAAATTAACCCTCATAGCCACCAGTCCCCCCACCATTTTATTTGATTACAGAGGACAGAGACCACACTAGATAGAGTTACACATTCCTTACCAGGGAAGTCTGTGAGGCACTGCATGGTCAGTGATCCTGTGAAAAGATTATGCATGGTACACATGAAGGTGACTGGTACTTCATCTTACTTCATTCCAGATGCTCCATATTTTCACAAGTTGTCACCATGGTCTAAGAAGAGCTGCTGTCTTTCCCAAACAGCTACACCTCTGAACTCCTATTGGCTACAGTCTGGTAGAGTAGGTGTGGTTCTTCATGTCTAGCCTCCTCCCTGTCAGTCTTGCTGGACAGGAGGTATTGTAGGAAAGGCATGTTCACAAGCCCCTCCCTGCTTCGTGTGTTCCTTTTCCACACAAGTTACTCCAGGGTCTGTTATGGCAGGGACTGCACATTGGCACACACCAAACAGCTGCGGCATGCCACGCTCCCCGACAGCACCTCCCTGCCATCTCAGGACGCAGACAAGCTGAACCGAGCTAACTGTAGTGGACTGTCTGGCAAACACGCCCGCACATCAGCAAGGCAAAGTGGAGGAAACTGCTGAACACATGTCACAAGGTAAGCTCTGATTTAATATTTATATCCCATCTTTCCAGCCAGGGGGGAGAACTGTTGGGCTGGATAGTTAATCAAAGTCAAGATGCTTAATGCTGACCTTGAAATTCTTCGATCTGGGATGAGCTGATCTACATTCAGGGTCAGAAATGCTTTTGACTCTGAAATAATTGAACATTGTATGGAGTAGACCTCTGGACCTGTGATGAATCAGACATTTATGGGAATAAGTTTGCCTTTTAAAGACTAAATGCTGAATTACATATACATCTTATTATGTCTACATTTACACATGCTGTCCAGAAATGAACTTGAATCGACCCAAAAACACACATGAACACACACCCTGGCAGTACTCGTTGTATTTTAACCTTGCCATATCAACATATCACAACTTTCTTTCTTGCATGAAGCCCCTGGCAGCTGCTTCATCCCATGATCCCTGGCTCCACATACCACCCAATGAGGCTTAGATGCAACAATGTAACTCTGACTATGCTGTTGTTGGAATGAGCAGGGAAACTAGAGTGGTCCAAAATCTTAAGCTGATAAATACAAACTAAAAATAGAACCTGTGGAATTTCTAGGAGGGCATCTTTATGGAAATACAGTGAGAGAAAAACATGAATTTGACAGAAATGAAAAAAGAGACAGATAGAGCAGAAAGGCAGAGGGAACTTGAGTGCAAACATTTGGCTCCGGTTTCTACATCAACTCTGAACAGAAGGCAAGGTTTAGCGTTATGCAGTGGAAAACCACAGTCTGTACAGCCAAAAACTGGAGGAGAGGAATGATTTTTCTGGAAAGAAAAACAGAGTCAAGGAAACTTGTAGACATTTACACTGTACAGACATTTAGGTAAAACCTGTTAGGTCTCAATTATAGGATGATGTAGCTCTCAAATATTAGCGGTCAGGCATTCTCACTGCTTGGTGATATCAAAAATCGTTCTGTTCAAACATATAATGCAGGTGAGTGGCTGGGACAACATGACCGAGTGTTCGAATTTATAGCTTCAGCTCGCCCACCAGCAACCCATGAAATGAGAAACTCACAAGACTATAAAATGATTCCATAAGTTGTAAAAATTACAGTGAGGCTGTATTTAGTGGTAGGCTGTTTTAAGCTAACTGCTAAAGACAGTGTGCTAACATGCTCACAGTGATGTTCAGCAGTTATGTTGTCAACATCTTAGTTCAGTATGTTAGGATGCTAGCATTTGCTGCTAAGTATCACAAAGGTACAGCTGAAGTTGATGGAAATGTCAATGGTTTTACAGTCATTTAGTCATAAACTAAAATATTAAACACTTTTTTGACCAGATGCTGGCGCCAGGTAAGGGAACCAAAGGTCACTGAAGTTAGTGGAAGTCGTACTGAGGTAAACAGCCTGGCAATACATCAAACAGGATATCAAACAAAACAACAAATGGTAGCCTCACTGTGGTGCTACAGGAATAGTCAAGAAATCACCAAAGTCATTAAGATTCAGCCTCAGGGGACCAGGAATATGTGCACATGGTAACCCATAAAATAGTTAGATAAGAGATCTTTCAGTCTGGATCAAAGTGGAGGATCAACCAAGTGACCAGACGGCACTATCATTCCTGGAGCCACACCACTAGCGTGGCTAAAAGTGAGCGCTGCAACAGTCTTTGCTGGTACCATCAGTCTTAACGTCTTAAATTTGATCTCTAAAATGTTCCCTTTGTCCATATTTGAACATTTATCATTGCTCAATTTGGAGGTTGCCTCTTGCTGTGTCGTGAGTTCATATTTAATTTGTGGCTTTGGTAAAGAATGTTGTGGATAGAGATGTTGTGATTATGAGGTTTATACTGAAGCAGGGAGAGCCAAAAGGTCTGTGTGAGAAGGGACACATTAACCCAGAGGAGGAGAGCAGCTGTTGCGGGAAAAGAAAGATAAAAGGAACTCAAATGAACTAAACCCACTGCTTAAAAAGCTGTGACATTTCCTCTGACTAAAGCACAATACGAGCTTGAGTTGGATACAAAGGGAACTCAAGATAAAGATTAAACTGATACTTGACTTTGAGTTCAGTGTGGGCAGAGGCAGAAACACTGCTTGGCTGGGGCCTGTTTGAAGTAAGGCGAATAAATTGCATTTAATTTCTTGGGTTTCCTGTGAGGTGGGCCGACTGCCTCAAGCACACACAATTAAAATGTGCACCACAGAAATGTTGAGAGAGTTAGGCAATGACCTTTGGGAATTGTCTAACCATACTTCTACTATGTTGTTTCCTCTGTGGTTACCTGGTCAGGAAGAAATGTATCAGTATATCTATATTTATCTGTGAGAAACCTGTGAGTTACTGCTACTTGGTTTGCTTGAGAACAGGCAATAAATAGTCTAAAAAGGAACATTTCTGTTTCTCAGTGCCACATACAATATAATGCTTTAAAAATTTTGATAGGCTCATCATGCTGATGTGGTACAAAATACTCATATTCGCTTTAGTGTTAGACAAGAAGATCAACACCACTCTGGGTTCTCTGTGGGACATACAGCATAAAGTCACAATCAGAAGATGGTTAGTTAGGCATTAGAATATAGAGGGAGGACGTGGACAGCCTAGCTCTGTCCAGTGTTTAAAAAAAATTATACACATCTTGTTTGTTTAATGTGTACAAAAACCCGTCTATAATTAGAAGTTGTGGTTCAACGTGAGTTGTGAGCTGGCGCCAATGTTAGAGTAATTTATATAAGTGTAATTCATCTTCTCATCTAATGCTCAGCAAAAATAAATAATTCTATTATTCAAAGGCTAAAAATGTTCTTTAACTACAGCATTTAATATCAACCAATAATACAATTTTATTTTATTTTCCAAATAGTAGTAGTATGAAATGTTGAAATGAGCGTCTTCCTTTTATTATTCAAAGCACAAATGTAAAATCATTTTCTGAAACTGTTGCCATTCTCCTGAACTGCAGGCAGCAGCCTGCATTTTGAACTTGAAGCCAGAGTCAGCTGATTGAGATGTTTTCAGTTAACAGGCGCTCTGCTGTACATTGCGACAGTGCTGAATACAGCTTGTAGTTTTTATCCCTATAATACAATATATCTTTTTTTGTTACCTTCTGGTTTGTCTGTCTGCCTGAAGACATTCAACTGAATTATCTACTATTAGCTTGTAAAATGAATGCACTTCTGAAATATACTTTAGCTTTACACCCACATGTATCAGCTAAACTTAGACTTGACAGATCAAGTGCTGAAAGATTTATCTCAACACTATAAACCCCCACAAGCATTCCAACATACATAATTCACCAGCTTTGATGTATAGCAGTACTACAGTAGGTTTCTGTACTATTTGCAAAATCATTTTAATCGATGAATTATGTACAATAGGTGGGTTTTCCATTATGTCTTTATAGGACAGGAGATTAGACTCAGTGCTTTTTTTGGTACATTACAGAAATGTTTCTTTAGCACTAAATACTGGAAGCTGACACTAAATGTTTGCTTAGCTTAGTACTCTACTTGTCTTTCGATCAGAATTAAATTTTGCCAGTTTTATGGCTGCATTTGTTCACACAACATTTTACTTTTGTTAAAAGAAACAAATGGTTTGGAGGTAAAACCCTTTATTTATTAAAGCTATTATAATCCGTATCTTTATAATAACAATGGATCAAAAAACTACAACATTTGAAAATGACACATGCATAGTATGCATGCAGGTTCTGCATACGTATACTTTCACAAGCAGCGCACGAGCACATCTCAATGTTTCCATCTTGGATTGTGAAAATGAACATGTCTCTATTTGTAATTTACAGATTTGTTGCTTTTTATTCCTGTCCATCAGAGAGTGTGTGAATGATGAGTGGCAAAGCTCCCAGCAGGGCCATTTGGTGGTGTTTTTCTGTTTACTGCATAGCTGACATTGTTTGGCTGCAGCTCAGTGGCTGTGGCTGTGTACATCGTGAGGATAGCAGCTCCCACAGAGGCTTGCGGTCAGGAGAGGGGAGGGGGAAATGTGAGAGGAGGGAGGAAAGAGGTGAGGGTGACAGGGGAGACACAGAGAGTGAATTATAAATTATTTGATACTGTATAGACTATTTAAAGAGAGGTGAGAGTCAAATCAAATGGAGTTATATACAGTACTGTAAAAATCATGCACAGTGCAAATACCTTAAGTGAAACATGAGAGAAGAAAATGATGTTGCAGCCAGAGACAGGTCAATAAAAATAAGATTTAGATTTAGAAAAATTTAGAAGAACATAAAAGCCCTAGTAGGAGGCACAAAGACAGCAGAAAGGAAGGAAAGTAGGGAGACAGAACAATGGTGGTCTGTATTTATGTCTGTAAGAGTATAGTTTGCTCCACTGGCCAGAGCTGCTGGGCTAAACAGCCTCAAGCTATTTTCAGCTCTTGTCCTGGCTGGCAGGGCTATAATCAGGCTAACATCAGGCCTGCCACTGTTGAATAATAGCTGCCTGATGCATGGAAGAAATGAAGCAGTAAGAGTGTGAGAAAAATAGAAATCTATGGGAAAAGAAGACAGTGAGAAGGAAGAAGAGAAATACAGTGCCAGAGTCTAATTGGACATTTGTTTTGTGCTTTGTGCTACATTGTGGAGAATGATTAAGAGGTAGACTGTGAACGAAGTACAAAACATCTGTTGCTGCACTGTCTGGTCATAAATTAAGATCTGTGTCACACAAGCACACACACCCAAACCCTATTAAACCTCAAGTGAGTGTTAGTGTCAACATTCACCAGTGGTGCTCCCAGAAATCATCAATGTGTTATTAGATAATTATTGTTATGAAATAACCACACTATAACCGCTGCTGCCTCTTGTACAAGTGCCTTAACATGTGTTTTTCATGTGTGGCTGACTCACTTCATTCCTCTATTTTAAATTTATTTTGTTTGCTTTGTCAGATACAAAAGGTCCAAGAAAGGAATTTGACAATTATTTGTCTGGAAAACTGAAGAAAGCAAAATGATGACAAAACAAAATGGTAAAAAGCTTTTAAAATGACAGAATTTGACTAAATCAGACATTTCTTTGTGATTGATACTAAATTTGTTTTAATGTTCACAGGAATGATCTCTTCTCTTAAAAATACAGAGCATGGAATTAAAGGGAAGCCTCCTTATTCAGTAGAAACTCCTTATGGCTTCCGACTTGACCTGGACTTTCTAAAATATGTAGATGACATAGAGAAAGGCAACACTATCAAAAGAGTCCCAATCCAGCGCCGGAGCAAAGGCACCCGGGCGAGCACCCTTCCCAGGCACCTCAATCCTTCTGGGAGTGGCTAACACCCCCCGCCCCCGGCGGGCACGTGCGGACCTTGCCTCCGTGGCCTCAAATCTCTAGCAGAGATGGAGGCCAGAATCAAGGAGTTTGATGAGCAACCTCTAGGTGAGCACATCAGACCCCATCTCCTCCGTGCCTCCAGTCTGCCACTCACAGTCCTGCTGAGACACGGCTCAGAGTCTACAGATGACCCTGGCAGCCTCTGGAGTTCAAGGGATCACCTTGGAGAAAGAAATACTTCCTGTGAAGACATTTTCTACTCTCCAAACAACCCTCAACCCCAGGACTGCTCAGTGCTGTTGAAACACCTGACAGAAACCCTTGAACGTGTGGGGGAGCTGGAGATGGAGGTGAAGGTGATTCCAGAACTCAGGGCTCAAATCTCCATTCTCCAGGAGGAAAGGGAAAGGCTCTTTCTGGGCCTGAATTCATCCCCATATCCCACTTCAATGAATGGAACAGCAGAGTCTCACACCTTGTCCCGCTGTGGCACCATGGGCATCAAAAGGCCTGAGCATGAAGGTCATATCATGTTTCCTAGACATCACAGCATCAGTCAACATGACTCAAATCCAACACACGAGTGGAGGACTAGTACAGATCTAGACGAGCTGCTGACGGTGACATCCCTGCAGGCTAAGGTGGCTGTGCTGGAGCAGAAGCTCCATGAGACTGGCCTGGAGCTCCAGAGGGCACTGGGGATGCTTAAGGGACAGCAGGATGAAAGCAGAAGGAAAGACGAGAAAATTGAGCACCTTATCAGGAGTCCTGGAGTGTGGGTCCACGCAGAGAGGGTAGCAGTAGACCAGGACGGAGATGGGACGGTGATGAGATCCACTGAACCAGATTACAATAAAGTGACCTCTTCAAGAAGCCCAGATAAATTAAGTGGTGGAAGAACTGTCGGTGCAAATGGGCAAAGAAGTCAACAGCATGACTTTGTAATCAATCCCATGTCTACTGAAAGGAGTTCACTAGTGTCTGTGGAACCCAGAGAGGCTCCAGCTGAGGACGCAGCAGTGGTCATCCACCACATAAGGAAGATCAAGAGACTCCTGGAGCAGCAGTGGGAGTGTCTGTGTGCAGACCAGCATTCAGCAGAGCAGGGTGAACCTCGAAGGCACCCAGACTCCAGAGTCAGTTCCCTGCAGCAGGAGATGATGGAACTCGTCAACATCCTCACTTCCTACTACACACAGCATGGACACAGTGATGGAGGAAGGACTCAACGTGGAGGTACTGTAGTCAACAGATACATGTGCATTAAGTAGATGGCCTGATCAGTGGTGTAAGAAGTATTCTAATTGTTTACTTGAGTAAAAGTAGCAATACCACAGTGTAAAAATACTCTGTTACAAGTAAAAGCCCTGCATTCAAAATGTTACTTAAGTAAAAGTACAAAAGTATTAGCATAAAATATACTTAAAGTACCAAAAGTAAAAGTACTCTTTATACAAAATGGCAAAGATTACATTATTGTTTGATTATAATTATTGATGTATTATTGTGTACATCCCATTTAACAAATTTTTATGCTTATAATTTGAATTACTGCTTGGCAGTGAATTTTACAATGAGGATCAATAAATCTTATGATTATACTGTATTATGTTTTATTATCATCATTCTGAAAAGCAACAAGTTAAGAAATCTTTGAAAACCTCCTTTCAACCTTAAATGTTCTAAGTTATGACAGTGATTATACCTCTGAAGTCACTCAGGATACAGCAGATGAGGAGCAAGTTTGCTGCCGCTTTAATGTATGAAGAAGTCATATAAGCTCGAATAGGATTATACACGTTAGCGTTGTGAGATGACTTATAATTACACAAACTAGAAACCACTTCCACAGAATCACCAGCAATTTAACAGCTGTATCATCACATGAATAAGAGCAATCTGATATGTGGACTTTGGCTGCTGTTATAAAACCGCAAGTGCATTTTAATGTCTGTAGGAAAACACTATACTATATGTCTTCAAATAATTTTAATTGCATTAGAAGTTGTCATAATAAATGGAAGCTTTTTTCTTTGCTCCAATCGTTAAATTTACTTCAGACGAGGCTACATCCTGATGTTTCTCTTTCAGACACACAATTTACCTAATAAATGTAAAGGGATTGCAGCTGCTCTTTTGGGATTTCTGTAGCTTTGTTTGCAGTAACTGACGAGTAGGTGACACAGCTTTTGTGAAGAAATGTTTATGTCCAGAAGAATCACAAGCCATATCCAAAATGCATATCACATCTGTGCTTGTCTTCCATCCAGCCTTTACACTCGCTATGAAGAAAGACAGATGTGCCCAGACATCAGCAAGCCTACGTTCTGGGGCTGTTAATGAAGGGTCAGTAAATAACTCTCACTGACATTAGCAAGCTTCACAGTTATGATCACTGGTTACTTGGCTTAACTTGGGGTTCTTTAAGCCGTTGTATGGTTCTGACTCTGAAAAACAGCATAATTTAAGACTGAAGGATGAATACCACCCCCTCTACAGCGTTGACTCTCTTGTCTTGGGATGACAGGGTCAGAAAAAAACAGATTATTACAGAATACTGGACTTTCTGTCTCAGCATGACAACAAATGTGGTTATAATAACGAGACAAATCTTCTGAGACCTGCACTTGTTTAAAATGGAAGAACACATGCATTACATTTAATTAGGTTTGACTTTAAAAGGATTGGTCTCTAAATATTGATTGAATTGTCCTTGACCATGCAGTATACTGTATGAATAATGCATCAGACATTTCAGGGGGGAACGGTTAATTGGCTTCCTAAATAAAAATAAAATAAATTCAGTAAATGTGGATAATGATGAGTTTTTTTCAAGGATTTAGACAATGTTGTCAATGTTAAATTGCAGTGTTTAAGAGATACCAGAATTCATTGCTGTCAGTAATGTGATATAATCCTCTTCCTGCCATGATATCTTTTCTTTCATTTCTGTAAAGCTGTAAAACAAGAGCAAGTGGAAATGTACATGGGCAGGGCAGCGAGAACCACAGCATTCATGGTGACTGGGTGCAGACCAGCCTTAGAGACAAGGCTTCTGCCCAGGCAGACCCAGAGAAGATGGAAAGAGAGCGGGAATTGAAGCCAGACGGGCAGATAGTACCTGGAAAAACAGGATCAGGGCAGACAGATGGAGGCGTGGCGTCTGCAGAAGTCGAGGCTCCAGAGAAAACAGCCAGGATGAAACTACAGGCCCCAGGAGAACAGATGGAGGGGCACTCAGGCTCGGAAATCATCACCGGGGGCAGGTGAGAGGACCACAAGTGTTTCATCAGTGTGGAAATTAAATGTTTACCTCATGGGAATATACTGTATTCCTAATGCTGTGAGGCAAAAGTTCCCTTCTTCTCTCTTTCTATAGTGAACACATTGTTTCTTTTAGGGACAGTGTGAGTGCAGAGTTTATGGCTGCCTGTCAGTTCCTCAGTGATCACATGGACAACATGAACAACCCTAGTGATGACATGGTATGTGACTTGGATTCTCCCACGCAACTTGAAATCAAGACTAATTAACTTATCTTTGGTAAATGGGAAACTCCTTCAACATTTCTATGTCAACAGTGGATGAAATGTCTGTGTTTGATGTAAAAGCACCCTTTGGACAGAGATTTATCTCACACCTCTGCAGCGCTACAAGGCCTTTTAGCATCTTTCAGCTCCTGGTTTTGGTTTCATGGCCTGCAGCTTTACTGTTCAGTCTCACTGCTCTCATTAAACCTTGTTCCCAGCTGTTTCCATTAGCTCTGATGCAACCTGTCTTTAGAATTTAAGAGCCAGATATTTGCTGGTGGAGATCAAAACACAGTGAACACTGGACTGACATTCAACAGAATGTGGCAGAAATGCCAAGTTAATGCTAATGTGGCTACATGTCTGCTGAGTGTAACAAGGCAGTTGTTGGCCGTCATCTTCACAGTATCAAAGTGGTGTGTGGCAATATATCATTCTTATGTCTTGTAGTCAAACAAATCAATTAATACAGCTAAAGTGGATCTGTTAAATTAAAGATGAATAATGGAACATGTACTACACACTTTAGTGCCCAAATCCAGTCAGAAAGCATTATTCAAAGTTTCCTCTTTTCCAGAGGAAGGCCCTGGTCGTTCTGTTTCAGCACTGGTTCAGTGCAGCAGCAGAAGAGGCTTCAGTGGCCAGCAAGGTGGCTTGGTACCTGAGAGAGGTGCAGAAAGCCACACCTCCTCTGCTGGCCTTCCTCGTCAACCTGGAAGATGACAACAGCAACACCGTTTTGCATTACAGCATTTCCCACAGCAACTACGGCATCGTCAGCCTGCTGCTGGACACAGGTTAGAGTATTGTGTTGCCAGAGTTGTTGTACATGTGAATAGTTGGCTTGTAATTATTGAAAGTGTTGACACTGCCTTTGTACCACAGGTGTGACTGATGTGAACCTTCAGAACAATGCTGGCTACACAGCAGTGATGCTGGCTTCACTGACGGCCCCTGATGGTCCTGGTGGCATGGAGGTGGTCCGCAAGCTAATGGAGCTGAGCAACGTGAACACTCGCTCCAACAAGGTAACGTGACAAATGCAAACACTGTCCGACTTTAAGATAAACAATTCAAATGGTGGTTTGTTTAGGCAAAGTGTGGACTCCAGTTTAAAATGTAAAGAAAATGAGCCATCCACCTACAGGTTACTAAGCTGACTCCCGGGCACGCTGCGCGGGTTGTTTTCCACTTTTCTGAGTTCTAAATGGAGAATCGCCTCTAATGAAACAATCACACACAATATTTAAAAGTAACTCCTGATTTTACACACGGATATCAGTTTGCTTCTGATAAAGAATATACTACTTAGCCTATGAGTACAGTTGTATACTTTCCTGGCATTTTAAATAGCCCTGTGGATGTCATGAAGGTTATATATTTTGAGTGCAAGATCTATGTATGAGATGTTTTAAAAATAACAAAAACATAAAAAGCGGTATCCTTTAAGCTTGACTCACACGGGACTTGAAGTCACAACAATCCACTGCTTCAGTGCTGACAGTTCCTTTTTAAATGTGTCTCGTCTGAGTTCCCAAATGTGGTAAACTAAATAGCTGGTTTCCCTCTAAAGGGTTCTTTAGCAAGATAATGAACGTCAATAGGTGACGTGTTGAACTCTGATCTCTCAAATGAACAGCATCTAAATAGGGGGTAAAGTAGGAGAGTGGTTTCAGACAAGTCACTTAATCTTGGTCTCTGTCTCATTGTCTCTCCCTTTCCATTCAGACGGGCCAGACAGCTCTGCACTTGGCAGTGAGACACGGCCGAGTTGTGATGGTTCGTCTGATGCTGAGTTGTGGGGCAGACGCCAACATCCAGGACAACCAGGGAACCACAGCCCTGATGTTCGCATCTGAGAGAGGTCACACGCACATTGCAAGGTTGCTGCTGGAGAGGAGCCAGTGTGATCTCACCTTGACTGACAAGGTGATACCCCTGCAAACATGTCCTGTGGACTTTTTACTTCTATTATTATCCTCAAACCCTCTGACTTTGTCCTTTTTTAAACTGCCACTAGTGTAAGATACAGGCTACCAGTTGTCTTGTCTGTGGTATTAAAGTTTTAAGGTTATTATCCCAAATAAATCAACAGTTAATTTGACAATAATATTTTTAAAATTCTACAAGCTGCACCCCCAGTAACTTCAATGTGAGAACACGAAATTCAAATGAAACCCTATTATACAGTATTTGTTAACAAAATCACATATCTACTTGAACTGGACACAAAAAAGGAGCTCTGATGTATAAAATCTTGAATATTTTGACGATCTTACCATGCTGATGTCATGGTTTAGCATGTTAGCATTTACACAACATTCCTCTAAAAATGAAAAAATGTCATGAAACCTTGTGATGGTGCAAGGGGGAAAGGCAGGGGATCAACAAAATTAAAGAAGTTATTCTTTGAGGACTGTGAATGTGTTAGTGAAATTTCAAGACAACCCGTTCAGTAATTATTGAGACATTTCAGTTTGGTCCAACTGTCCGGCAAACGGAAGTGTTTTAATAAGGCAGTCTCTAATATGACTGTATATGGGTTCATATTTCAACATTTGTGTCCTAATTTCCTGCTTTTCTTTCTTTCTGTCTTCCAGCACGGCCGAACTGCTCTCTCCATTGCTATGCAAGGTTCCCACAGTGATACGGCCGCCCTCCTGCAGGCCCACGCTAAAGCTCGAGCCCTGTAGAACTGGAAGACTAGAAAAGGACCTCCCACTATATGATCCTCTCACATGTGCTCTTTTCTGTCAAAGGCACAGCAAAGTGCCGTTTAATGTTGGCGCTATGTGCTTGGATTGAGCTCTTTCCTTAATAATAATATTTCTGAATCCTGGATTTCTGTGCAAGCATTAGCTTGAATTTTAGACGGAATTACATCATTTTAAGAAGACACTACGTCACCAGTGAGCGAGGTACAACTTCGAAGGAGGGTTTGTCATGGTTGCTGATGCAGTATAGACTAAATGTGCCATTTTCTGTTGTCTTTAATGTGTGCGACATCCAAGTAGCAGCTTCACTCTGCAATCTATGCAATGAAGAAAATATATTTATTATTACAGTATATGTTTATTGTACTGGTCCTATGATAATAAAATGTTCCATGTCAAATGCTCCTCTGCTTATACAGGAAAAGTATGCATCACAATTTGCATTACTGCAGCACTTCAACACGTCAACACACAAAATAAAATATATATGTGTGTGTGTATATATATATATGTGTGTGTGTGTGTATGCACACTTTACTGAGCAGATGAAAGAAAGAGATTTTTGGTGCCAATAAACAAACCTGTTGATTTCACTCACTAACAGATTCTACACTAATATACACATTTTTAGTTTGAATATAGAAAACTGATATTTCATGTTGAAAACCCATTTATCAGCTTTGTTGCAATGCTGTATTGATAAATCCGACCAGCAGGTGTCGTAGTTCCTCCGTTCTAGTATCTCTACTGTCAGCCAAATCAAATACAACATAAAGAAAGCAACAATATATGTCAGTCTGGAATTCTAAAATGGACATATCCAAGGGATCAGCTCAAATCCTTTTCAAGTGTGAGACAATAAACGTTATACCCATCAGATTGTTCTAATTCGACTGTGAGAGGAGACAGTGAGATTCACCTGCAAACCAGCTGTATGGCGGCTGGAATGGCCCAGTCAGGCGTGAAAGCAGATGTGTCTGAGCAGGCCCTTTATTGCTTTAACGCCCTGGGAAGCAGTATGGGGCAGAGCTTTAGTTTTGCTGTGAGGTCTTGAGACTACGTATGTGAGATAAGACAAAAAGGATGGATTGCAGCAAAAGAGACGAGGCTGGCTTTCTCTCTGACAGAGCAAAGCCACCTCATTTCCCCAGAGGATGTTTTCCAGCCTGGCTAACTGACTGACTGCCCCGCTGCTGTTATGACCCTGAGCAAATATGTGTTATATACTCAGAAAGAGAGAGATGGATGGGTGGTGACGAAATCCCCTCTTGTCCATAAGTCAAGCATTGTAGATATAATATTGGCAACAAAGACTATAAAAAATTGACATAGGTAACAAAATCGGTAATGCTTTATAAAATAAAACATTATGTTTTGAATGGATGATCTGTTTATAAATGACAGCATGTATTTGCGTATCTACACAGGCCATGTTCCTGTTCCATAGATGCACAGTAAATCCTCCATCCACACCCAAAAAACCTTCTTGCACAGCAGTTAAGGTGCTCATGTGATGCTTATGTGCAGCAACAACTGTTACAAGTAAAAGTTGTGCATTCAAAATGTTACTTAAGTAAAAGTACAAAAGTATTACCATCAAAATGTGCTTAAAGTACTAAAGGTAAATACTCACACATTTATGCTTAATGTACATAATATTATTGGATTCTAATTACTGGTGCATTCTGGTGTTGATCACATTTATTGTTACAGCAGGTAAAGGTGGATACGGAGCCTCTGTAGCTGATGGATCACTTTGTCAGTGGATGAACATAAACTGCACTTCAGTCAGCTGGGGTCCCAAACCCGAGAGCAGCTTCTGATCTGCCTTTAGGCCACACTGTGCACCTCTTGACTGAAAAAATAATACAAATACTACTTGTCTTAAGATTAAATAGAGAGTAGCATTCATAAACAATAAAACTCCACTAGGCCAATTCTGCAATTTTGCTGGTACAGCTTCACTTGGTCTGGTACGAGTAGTAGCTCATAGCAGCAACAAGCGTATTGTTTCACCACATTTCTGTCAAGTTGTTAAAAGATGAAAATGTTTTAAAAGATGCATTTATTAGATTTTTACGTATATATGTCATTTTTTGACAGAATTTCACCACAAGCTGAAAATCACACATTTGAGAAGTAACAACGAATGGCTGATATAGTGGATGTATCAATATCAGCATGAGCATTCCGCTAGAGCCCTATTTTGGGACGACTGATGAATGTAATCTTGTACATTTCTGTTATAAAAACGTCTTCAGCATCTGGAAAAGACCAGAACTAAAACAATGGGCTTTGATACCACATTGAGCTGAGAGGAACTACAGGGATAAATGACACTTTTCTTTGGTTTGTCATTATGAGCAACACCAGCAAACACTCATTTGAACCATTGTTGATATAAAAACATTGACTAGTGCAGCTTTAAAGCAATGAACGCAAGAGAAACTGAAAAAAAATGCTATAATATACACAGTTCAGAAAACATTACATCGTCTCGCTTTAAAGATTTACTTCGAGCAGTGAGTCTGTGGTATGGTGGTATGTGAGATATTTGATCATATGTAGAAGGAAACGAGACAACCCACACACCGAGGAACTTTTCAGTCAGATTTTATATATCAATATATAGAGATATTCAAAGGTAATTCAATACAGAAAATGAAAGAGTGGAACCAGTTTATCTTTGCATGTACAGTAGCTGGCTGATCCCTGTCCTTTTCATGAAAAATACTGGAGGAAAATGAAAGAAGCAATTAAACAAAAAGGCACAGATAAATAAAAACTCATTGATACCAAGGCTGGAAAGTGTTGCAAAAATATGAGAGTCAATCAGGAGGGACGCCATGTTTTACATGGGTCGACAAAGAAAGGTTTGCACACAAAAATGATGCTAAATGAGGTATAGCAAGAAACAACACAAACCACTTTGGTGGATCATTCGAATTAGTTACGATCAGGGAATGCAGTGCTCTTTTATATACAAATAAATTAATATACCTGCCAACATGTTATCTAAAATCTTATGTACATCTTTTATTTTACATAATTGTATTGTACATTATCAAAAACCTTATGAAAACATATTTACAAATCAATGAATCAAAAAGCACCCTCAAAGCTTCAGTGTCGTAAACTTGCACACTCACGCGCCTGTGTATTCACACACTAGCACACACTTTCTTCCATGCAATACACAATACAGAAGGCATTCTAAGAGGGTTGTGCAACAAAGAGCATAAAAAAGTCTCAAATATGGCCGTGGAATGAACATCAGCACTCACATGCATAACACACATGGACACACACACACACACACACACACACAGACTTAAGGTTTATGAATGGAGTAACAGTGATAATAATAAGACTAAGCCTGCATGAAACAGGACGGGTCTCAACCTCATTCCATCAGAGTCTCACTTTTGTTTTTTGTGGTTACATCATATGACAGGTCGCTCTCATCGAGCCGCCGCCAGCTGGGCCCTCCCACATGGCACTATCCAAAACTGTCTGCTCAGATATCGTCCATCTCCGAGCAAAAGAAAGCAGGCAGGGAATCTGGCTCTCTGTTGTGAACATGTATGTGTATGCATCTTGTATCAAACAATAAACTGGCTGCGCTTTCAGCTGGTGAGCAATCAGACATGCTGTTTTTGTTTTCAGAGGGCAAAGTGCACACTGTCTTTGTTCACCGGAGAACAGCATGAATTCCTTATCACTTCACATGGGGCGTTATTTTTGTGGATGTTTGTCACAGTCAAAAGCAGGTGATTAAATACAATTTTTAATGAGGATTTCTGTCAGCGGTGTAACACTGTTGCCTACCTAAAAGCTGCAGTCTATTACTTTTTAAAAACCACTTAACATCTAAAAAAGTCACAATAAAGAAGACGACTCCACTGCTCATAAATACTGTACGTCTCCATTTCTTTCTTTCCAGCCTGCAAACCTGCTGACCTCTCCCTAGGCTCCAGCCTGTTAGAGGACAAATAAAAACATAACCTCTCCAACCAACAGTAATGAACTGCACTTTGACTTGTCAGACAATTCACTCTTGAGGCTGCCTCTGACCAGAGAGAAATCACAAAACACGGCTGTAACCTTTCTTTAAAGCCCACCAAGAACATGTTACTAACACAAAACGACAGAATTAATGACATTTATGAGTGAAACATGAATCTGTACAGATTGTCCCATCAACGCAGGCGCTGTCCCACTTTCAGAGCTCCTCCTCCTCCTCCCAGAGCTCCATAGTGCACCAGGAATAACACAAAGCCCAAATTTAATACATCAATACGAAACATGACTTCTCACTTGCCCAGTCACAAAACACAGTATAAGACGCACAACACACACCTCACTCAGTTATCAAAGCAAACAGATACCAGTCAGACTCAGGAGTTGAGAACATAGTATGACACATTAATAATTCTGTAGTTAATTCTCAGTGTTTTTTCAGAGAAAAATAGATCCAGCTCCAGCGCAGAAAAGATATGAAACTACTGTACTTTTTTAAAGAATTGTGTTCATCTTGTTAAATGGAAATTGGCATAAGACATGGCTGTGAATGGCCGCATGTACACTTAATGATATGTTGTTCGCCCCTTCAGCAAACTCAGTACAAGTCACCTCTGACCTGGCTGTGTGTGCGTGTGCCTGAGCGGCCATCTCCTGTAAAAGTCGCCCACTAATCGTTCACTTTGCACTGGTGAGCATGGGCTGCTCTGTGTACCAGTGGGTCCCTGGATCGGGCATGCTGCCCCCAAGTGGCAGAGCGATGAACTGTGGGCATGTGCCGCCTCCTGCTCCCATAACTCCCATGCTGACACCCTGCGGGTACGGGTGGTGGTGGGTGTGGTGCCCCACACCGTCAGTCCGTCCGATGTGGATCTCATCCTCCTCGCCCTCACCGGTGGTCTTGCGGTAGACAGGGTTGTCAAAGTTCATGCTCTTGGTGGAGTTGTGCCTCCAGTTGCGCCACACCAGGTAGACGCCGGTGCAAACCAGGCCGAACACCACTGTGGCAATGATAGGAACTGCATGCGTTTAACACACAGCCACGGGGACACGGGAAGGGGCGGAGCGTTAATGAGGCATTACAAGCCCATGGCATGAAATGACAGCACAGAGAGGAGCAGAGCAGGCATGCAGGGGACAGAGAAGGCAGGGGGGCAGCAATACAAAGGATGTGTGTGTGTGGGTGGCTCAGCTAAACACTGAGCCAAACACTGTCCAACAGACTGTTAACACAGACTCTAAATCAGCTGCTTGCAGCATCATTGGTGCCCTGGCTTTGGAGCAAATTAGTATAAAAAAACATTCCCTGGGGTGTAAAAGTGACAACATCACAATCAGCATCACAATCTCTCAGTAACTCATCCTCAACAAATCTGTGCATACATAAGAACTGCAATTTAATCATGTTTTATTAAATTGTGCTTTGTGAAATTAAAACAGTAAAGCTTTGATAAAGTTTAAATGCTTTACGTTTCTCACTGGACCTGCCTTTTCACCTTATTAAGTGTATAACAAGACCATCTGTCCATGTGACTCATTTTATTCCAGTCCACTTACTACTGTACTGGTGTCGCATTGGTTTTGCCTGTTTATACCTTAACATGACCTGTAGATGCACAGGAAAAGTATTTTTCACACATATAGTAAATTTATAGAAATTTCCTGCAGCCTTTATACTGTAGATTTTTATACTGTATTAAATCCCCTTTTTTGTAATGTTACAAGTAAAAACATATTTTCTGAAAATATGAACAATATGTAATTGATGTAGTCAAATAGTGTAACAGTATAATGTTATATTTTTTGTTATAGCTCTTATTACACTAGAACTAATCAGTTCTACATTGTAACAGAAGCACGCTATTACTTTACTTCGTCTCCATGCATCATCAGCTGGTTAGCAAGCTGAGCTTTTGCCTGGTGCATTTAGATTTAGCGTCAGTCTATTTGCACATGTGCAACATCATGTACAGGGCCATCGTGGTTTCTATATTTAAGACCTGTTTTGCTAGATTGCCATTTTAAAACAAGTCACCTGGAAACAAGTGCTTTGACCTGCTAATAGGAGCTAAAATTAGCTTAGCTTAGATAGCTATAGCCAATAAAATCTGCCAGTGACAGCTGACATTTTAGCTGACCAAATTGATAGAAGCTGGCTAAAAATGAGAGCCGTCAGCTTCAAGGACCCCTTGAGGGATCAATCTTGCACAATTATTAGTATAAACAAAATATGAATGAAAAGACTGACATATGCAGCAACAGGTACATACCATTAAAGGCAAGTGAGAAAATCTTTTTGGAAAATTGGATGAACCCTGTAAGTGCTTTCTTGCTGCACTATGGCATGTTAACTAGACTAAAGGTCTTCTGGCTGTACCTGAGCCCAACACAACAACACAGTGTGAGGTGAATAATGTAGGATGGCAGTGATGTCAGAAACACAGAAAATGACTCCTGAGAAATCTCAGCGAAGAAGACCTGTGGGCCAGGCTTCTCTCATCCTGCCACAGCAGGGCCAGTGAGAATGGACTACAAACAGAGTGGCTATAGGCAGCAGGTAAACAGCAGCTTTACGCAGCCCTTCGGGCCTTTAGTGTGGACAGACAAACGCAGACATGGAAGCTTCAGGTGACTTACCAATGGGGATGACCACACCCAAAACCGCCACTGTCAGGTTCTCACCCAAGAGGAAATGCTCGCTTCCAGCTGTAGAAAGAGATGAAATGAGAAAGAGCAGTTAGAGCAGAACGAGAGAGGATCAGAGTGAGAATGTGTATGGGATTAAAAAAAAATGCCTGAGAAATAAAGTGAGCAATAAGCACAAGAGGCAGCAAGGGAGAGCAGGTGTAAGAGAGGTGAGATATAACAAAAAGCCAGGGAGCTCATGCATGCACAGCCGTGAATGTTTTACAAAGAGGAACAGTGAAAAAAGGCTGGAATAAAAAGAAACGAGAGAGAGGGGAACAACAACGAGTTCGTTGACATTTGCCAGTGTGACCTTGATATGACCCCTGATCTTACACATTTTATCTAGTCACACCTCCAATGTCACCTCACAGCTCACACTCATTTAAATGCCACATACCTATTTATGTACACAAGAGCACACGTGCCCTCCTAGAGATGCAACACCCCACAGTCCACACAGAGCACAATTTACAGGGGGAGAGGTGACAAGGTATCATCCATCACTCCTATTATTAAAGTCCGTCGAACATGGCTGCTGGGTCTCATGGATATCTCACTTTAATCTCATCATTACAGTGAAGCGGAGGTTGTTACCTGCATTATAAATGTATGACTAGTGGATGTATACTTGAGGACATGAGGGTGCCGAGGTGAAACTGGCACTTTCTGCTCTCTCCTCATACAAAGGACCCCGGGGATCATTTCAGGAATGCTAAACATATAGGGCCTGAAATCGTAAAGTGATAAATTATGAAATCTAGATGTAAGAATGTGACATGCATGAACACATTTTATTTTAAGTCTATAAAGAGACATACTGTATTTACACCACATGACCTTCACACCCACGCACAACCGAGGAGCATGACTGTCAGTTCACAGCCCACTTACAGTGTTGTGAGATGCTACTGTCCCCTGCAGGTGTGGTGGAGATGACCATGGTGGTGGCTGTAGAATGGGAGCCCAGTGCCTTTGACTCCTGTGATGTCACGGGTTTGAGCGTGCTGAGGGGTGTGAGCGGCTCAGGGGCATCAGAGGGCACTGTGGTCAAGTGGGGGGTCGTGTCAGCGTGTGATACTCCCCCAGGCGGTGTAGAGGCATCTTCAGCGGCAGTCCCTCTGGTGCCAGGTGTAAATCCAGCAAGAGGTGAGGTTGCCTGTGTTGTGTTGTTTCTTGGTGCTGCTGAAAGGAAAGGAAGAGTGCAGTAGAAGCCTTAGCTCAAGGAAATAATTATTGTCCATGTGTTAAAGACTGAAAGTTTCAAAAAGAGTCAGTGCAGTACTCTCTTGAAAAAACAAACAAACATGAAATAGATAACTTGAAGATGACTGAATATGTGCATTCCTTCTAATTACAGTAAACTTGAACATTATGCTACTAAATCTGAAATGGAAATAATACAATATAGAAGACGTGCAAGACTGCCAAGTCAATTAATTTGACATTTCCCTCTGTTGTGCTTTGTTGCTTTGACTGTAAATTACTTGGCGTGTTTGTGTGTAGAAAAGAGCTATATAATGAACACTGTTTATTGTGATTAATATTAGTATAACACTATCTACACTGAGATACCAAACATTTTCAACACTAGCCTAAAAGTCTATTTAACCAAGTAGGCTACTGCCCAAACTCCTACAAGTTTCCCCTCTAATAACACTGGACTCTAAACAACATAATCGCTTCCTTAAATGAAGCTGAATGTGATTAATTGCACTGTAAGCTCTGTGATGTCTGTCCAATAGATCCCACTAGATGCTATTGATTACTAAATCCTTTCATTACCACCCACAAACACGCTCACCTGGCACACAGCCCCTCATATCAGGCCCCAGTTCCTGTCCATCAGGGCAGGCGCAGGTGTATTTGGGTGAGTGTTCGGTGATCTGTGGGGCCTTAAGACAGAGATACTCACAGCCTCCATTGGCCACACTGCCCAGATTACAGCTGTCTGGGCCTGGAGACAGAGAAGAGACAGGGAGAATTATATTGTTATATGAATAATACTATCACCTATTCATGGGGAGATAGTAGCGAGTCAGAGAGAGACAGAAAAAGCTGCTGTATGTTTCTCTGCTGTGAACAATGCTGAATTTCCTTTAGCAAAACCCATTAAAAACAGCTAAAAGGATAACAAGAATGAAGTCATATAGAAACTTGCTGTATTGCCTTGTTTAAATATAAACTAGGAAAAGACAATAATGTATTATATGCAAATCAAACTGGAAAGATGGTGATGAGATACAAAGAAATTAAAATGTGAATGACAATGGACTATGCACTGTGAGGTAGGAATAAACAGAGACAAGCAGGCAGAGAGAGAGATATGAAACCTGACATGTAAGAAAGGAAATACACAGCCTTCACATTCATGATTCAGTGCTCTGTTCGGTTCAGCTCAAATCAGGATCGTCCCATTGGATTAAAAAAAAACAAAACATGGTTTTCTCTAACAGGGATCTGACAGACATATGCTCCTACAGCTTTGATCACTCTACCACAGTCACAAGCCTCACCATCATTTATTCATGTGCACGGGGTCGACACGGATGCACGGAGGAAACTTGGTCAGCTCACATGATCGCAATGAGGGGATGTGTGACGACACATGAACCAACATGGGGACGCACATGCAAAGACCCTCACACATACTGCATGCTCACCTTGTGGCTGTCGGAGCTGGTGGAAGACCACAATGTCATGGGGGTCGTTGAGGTTTTCAGCCAGGGTGGAGATGTCTCGACCAGTCAGCCTGTTGACCATAAAGACTGCCGCCCTGTCTCTGTCTGTCCAGTAGATACGATCCTGAAAGACAAGGGAAAATATCGTCTTTAAATGGTTGATACACAGAGCACCATTTGACAAAGAGCAATTCTAATCTGCTCTCTATAATCAACCACTTAAAAGCTTTTGAATAGTTTGGGGAAACTTGCAAGTGTCAGCTTACTATTCTATTTCTAAAGTTTGACACTTATTTTACTTGATGCATGACATTTATTGACGATGATCTAGGTATCAGTTCTGTCCTGTCAACATCAGCTAGATGGACAGACACCAAATTTTAATTTTCATTGACACTGATGGTTCCCAGAAGAGGAATTCCATTGATTTTGCAGCCCTCTGACTTTTTCTCTGTTGCCTCCATGAGATTGATATTTGTGGTTTAAAGTGATGTCTCAACAACTATTTGATGGATTGCCATACAATTTGAATTCTTTAATCTGTTTTGTAATAACTTCAATGACCCTTTCACTTGCCATCATCTGCTCCAAAGTTCAGTTTATTTAATATTTTGGTTAATAACTAAATACCTACAAGCTAATGGCATCTTCAGCATGCTAACAGACTAACCTAAGATGATGAACATGGTAACCACTATACCCAATCACAGTAGCAGCAGCATATTAGCACTGGGAACACGTTAACATGCTGATGTTAGCATTTAGCTAAAAATGTCACTGTGTATAGCCTCAAACAGTTGCTAGCATGACTGTAGACTCTGATTTGTTACATTAAGGAACACAATTTTGTCCTGAGCTAAAAATAGTACATATCATTTTACAGTACAGTCTATATACGTATCAACATGTATCAGTACTGCTGGTAAAGTAGCTGAATTTCTGAAAGTCAATCATTAAAGAGTCCTTCAGTTTGAAAGAGACTATGTAAATGAGTGTATATTCAGGTGAGAAATGGCTGAATGAAACAATAATAACACTATATAACATGAGTACAGATGCCTCTGAAGAAACAACAGGACATGCTGAGGGAGGTGTTGTAAGTGCTTGTGGTTTGTTACAGCTTTAGATCTTAAATGATTTAGTGCAAAATATTGTATCTTAAATTTCATTAACTGACTTGTTTGCTCTGGTTCCCTAGTTTACACTTTAAAACCATTTTAGACAGAAGCTAATATTTTTTGTGGCTGCCTTATAAACAACAGGCTAATCTCGACTGCACGAGTGTGTACATGTTTGTGTTGGGTCAGTCATCTCATTGAGTCAGTAAGAAATGGTAATGTGATGTATAGTACACAACAACTGGCTCCGGTCAGTAACACTAAGCTGGTGCGTTTTCTTTAACAAGAAGGTCACCTTGTAGTCACAACAGGGCAGAAAGCTGTGAAGGCCAGATCGATGAGAAATTATACAAGAGGGCATTTATTGTATTTTGTCTGAGTCTGTTACAGTGCAGTGCTGACTGCAGGATGGACTTAAGGTTCACGGTAAAAAAATAAAGATTATGCATTGCCCATCTTAGCTTTATTGGTATTTCCATAACTAAAGAATAAAGATGTCAGAAAACAAGATTGTTTTATATACTGGCAATTGTTACTATAACCGAATTTACTGGAAAGTACTTACAATAAGGACAAATTTGAGGTACTTGTAATTTACTTGAATACTTGTACTCCACTACATTTCAGAGGGAATTTTTTTTACTATATTTTACTACATTTTTCAAACAGTTAAACTTACTGGTAACTTTGCAGATTAAGGTTTTATATAGAAAACAGTTTTTATATGATGCTTTTTAAGAAAATGCACTGCTACACATTATGTAAAAGTTTTTACATTAGCTCAGTCTTGACCACCTACAACTAAAATACCTCTTACACATGAATGCATCCATAATAATCCAATATCTAACAATATAATACTGAACAGGGTTACTCTGTGTAATGGGTAATGGGTACTGTCACTTTTAGTAAAGTACATTTTGCTGAAAATACTGCTATAGTTTTACTTCTGAAAAAACAAACAAACTGGAATGCAGAATGTTACTTATAATAGTGTATTTTTACACTGTGATATAGACAGGAGTACTCTTTCCACCTCCTTTTTTTTAGATCAGGTTTGCAGAGCTGAGGCCTCCATGCCCTGTTGTTACTGTCACAAGAAGAATGTTTGAGTCTAGTCTTGGTGTTTTGACTTTAAAAAATCATCCTGACCTGGACTAGTTTCATCAGCCCTCAGAATGTAATTTAAACCCAAGAGGATGTTTTCAGAGTCCATGTTTTTAAAGCTGTCTGCTGAACACAATCTGTGCCTCTGATCCCACTGAGACCAGTTCCCCTTGAGAGAAGTCCCACTGGGGAATGGCCCACTCGAGTCTGTCATTACCAACCAAACTGACTGGGACATTGCTGCAGTTGCAACAACAATCCCAGAGAAGTGTTTGTAAGCAAATGCATGCTTGCACGCCAACACAAACATACTATACAAGGAGTCTGTAGGCAGAGGATTTCCAGGGCTGCTCGACACCAAAAAGATGTATGTCACCTGGTGGTCTTAACATGCCGCACACAGCCAAGCTGCCTGATGACCAGAAGCATAAGCTTGCCTTACTTTATTTAGGCTGCTCTCTACTCTTTATAGTTGTTTTTTGATTAGTAACTTGTCAATTAGATTAACAACCCAGCATGCAACACTAATAGATAATATATTTACTAGTGATATTGACAGCAAAATGTCTAGTGGATTACTTATAAATGATATTAGTGATCATTTACCTGTATTTTTGGTTTATGACTGCCAGTATAGAAAAGAGAGGCCAAAAACAAATCTTTTTTTATAGGAGGGTGATGAATGAACATGCTGTAAGGAGGCTAAAAGAGGACTTTATGGGGCAAGACTGGGAAACAGTTTACAGAGAGGATGACTTAGATAAAGCATATGAGCAATTTTTAAATATATTCATGAAAGTATATGACAGGAACTGTCCTCGTAAGCAGTATAAAAACAAGAGGAATTACAGTGGGAAACCGTGGATGAGTAAGGGATTACAGAATGAATGTAAAAAGAAGAATGTGTTATATAAGGAATTCATAAAGGACAGATCCAAGAAGGCGGAAGAAAAATATAAGTTATATAAGAACAAATTAATTGCGTTATTAAGGATATGTAAGAAACAATATTACTATTACAAGTATTAGAGGATAATAAAAATAACATGAAATGTACTTGGAATATATTAAATAATTTGATTAGAAACAATACCAGCATGAGTAACTACCCTCAATATTTTATGGACAATGATACACCGGTTTAGCAAGAAGCATTTAAACTGATGATACATCCATCACTATAAATAACAATACAATTGAAAGGAAAATGTGTTCTATGTTTCTGAAGCCCATAGTTAAAAAGGAAATTTTAGAGATAGTGAACAAATGTGGTAATAAATCATCCAGTGATAGTGATGGTATCAGTATGACAATGGTTAAATGGGCAATTGAGGGGATATGCAAACCATTAACCCATATTTTTAACATGTCGTTTCGACTTGGGCAGTTCCCCAATAATATGAAAATAGCAAAGGTTATTCCACTGTATAAATCTGGTGATAAGCACAACTTCACAAATTATAGACCGGTTTCTCTGTTGTCACAATTTTCAAAAATTCTGGAAAAACTCTTTAATAACAGATTAGACACATTTATTGATAGACATAAAA